AGAACTGAACGAAGCTATCAAGGCAGGCAATCACTGAGCTAAATCCACCCCCCCTCTATTCTTTAAATTTGTAACTCATACACCAAAAACATAAAAAATTAGACAAATTAGTGGGTTGTGTGATACATGTATACACTGCACAATGTTTAAATTAGGAAAAACAAATTTATTTTCCCAAACACTTACAATTTCTTTGTGGTAAAAACTTTCAAAATTCTTTCTTGAAGCTTCTTGAAAGCTACAGTACATTACTGTTATCTATAGTCACCATACTGTGCAACAGAATCTCAGAGCTTCTTGCTAACTGTAGCTTAGTAGCTATCAACCTTTCCACATCTCTTCCTATGAACTAATTTTCTTGAACAAAATCTTCAATAAATTTAAGGTAAAGGACTATGAATGTTTGACAGTAATGTAAAATATTACCTGTTGAAATATCACAAAAGCTCATGTTTTTCATGTAGATTTTTGTTGTTTTTTTTCCCCCGGTACAGGGGATCAAACTCAGGACCTTGCGCTTGCAAGAGAGGTGCAGTGCCACTGAGCTAAATCCCCGGCCCTTCACGTAGTATTTTTAAAGATGACAGCCCAAGTAAGTTGATTTATTACTTAGGATTTTTACATAGTTACTACATATTCTAAATCAGTCATTTGAAAAGCTTAAAAAATTGCTCTTCTTTTACCTATTGATCAAAATCTGCACGCCTATAATCCCACCACTCTGGGAGGCTGAGGCAAGATTAAAAATTCAAGCCCTACCTGGGGAACTTGGCAATTTAGCAAAACACTTTTCCAAAATAAAAAAACAAAAAGGGCTGGGAATACAGCTTGGTAGAGAGCGTTTGCCTAGCATGTGTGAGGCCCTGGGTTCAATCCCCAGGACAAGGTTAAAAAAAACCCCGAAAAACAATCTGTTATGAAGGGTTGGGGCCTTCATATCATCTTTTTGGAGAACAATTAGTTTTTTTTAAAATAACTTTTATTTTATTTTATCCCATTCCCCCCTCAAATTAGCTTTTTTTTGGGGGGGGGGGACTGGGAATCAATCAAATTAGGTTTTTTTATGTACTGGAAGCCTGAAAATCTTGACCGTGCTGTGACTCAACAACTGCACTGCAGGAATCCACAATTACAGATGTGTGCAAGGATTAAAGTGTTGTACAATACTGTTTATAATCAAGTGAAACTGAAAACAGGAAGACATAAAACTCAATTTACAAAATAAACTGTGTATAAACACAATTATATATCAGCCTTAAAAATTAATCTAGCCTGGTAAATTAAATAAGAACTCTCAAAAAAAAAATCACTCTTCATGCACAAAAACTCAAAAAAGAAAACAAACTACATGGTATCCTGAATACACTCCAACCTGATGCTACGTTATTTGCTTATTTTCATTAAGAGTTTTTTACTTTGGGAGGTTTTATAAACCTGAAGTACAGAAAAAACTAGAGAAAAGATATATTTGCTAATCTATGGCTCTTCACTAATACTCCTTCTCCTTTCTCTTCTCCCTCCCCTTACCCCATCATATTAATGTAATTTCAGTCGTTCCTGTGCTACAATCATTTGCAAATCATTAAATACTGAAATCAGAGTTTACGTATCCTAAGCTACATGACTGGTAGTTTGTTTTCTTTCATATACTGTTGATTGCAGTTAGACGGCCTAAATGATAGACCAAGGAACTTGATACCAAATTTCCTGATAAACAAGTCTGAAATTACATACTCTGAGTAACTGTTGCATTAGCAAGTACAACAGAATAAAAATCAACAGTGCCCTGGAGACTGTTCTAGAAACCACCTCTCCGCCCCATCCACACCTCAGGGCAACACTTAACAGTCATAACCCACACAGCTCAAGGGGCTGCTATGTCTCCTTCTCTCCCCAGTGGCTGAAGCAACAGGATGCAAAATTCGCAAACAGCAACCCTGCTACTTTGTGCAGAGACTGTCCAGCAAAGGCAAAAGCCTGAACCCAACAGCACTGGAGTCCTTCAGCCAAGCTGTCCCTGTCCCATCTAAAACTTCTTTCTGCTTCACTGAAAGCCAAATTTTGCACTATTATCTGTTTGTTTCTTCTTTGTAAGAGAGAATCTTTTTTGCCTGTCTTGTACTTTGAGTAACTACTTTGAAGGTAATGATAACACAGTGTCTTAAGTATTGTTTTAAGTATTGTTTTCTCATTACTGTATTTTATTATAAAATTTTTTTCATATAATAAACTTTTGCTTCAGCTTTTTCTAGTTGTATTGGTGTATTTGCAATTAAAAAAAAAAAATCTTCGCAGATCACAGTGGTCCACATGGTGCCAGGGATTTAGCTCAGTGGTTCCAGCACCTGCCTCGAAAGTGCAAGAGTTCAATCCCCTGTACCAAAAAAAAAAATCTTTGCAGGGCACAGTGATGCACACCTATACTCCCAGCTACTTGGGAGGCTGAGGCAGAAACATCAAAAGTTTGAGGCCACTCTGGGCAAGGCAGAGAGAGTGCATCTCAAAATAAAAACTTTAAGGGGGCTGGGGATTTAGCTCAGTGGCACTGCACCTGCCTTGTAAGTGTAAGGTCCCGAGTTCAATCCCCGTACCAAATATAAATAAATAAATAAAATAAAATTTAAACAAGGTCTGGGTATGTTCCTCAGTGGTAGTACACATGCCTAGCATATGAGAGCCCCTGGGTTCAATCCCCCACAAAAACAAATAAATGTATACTAACACACATAATCAAGAATCTTTCACTTTATAGTAGAATAAAAGGCTATTTCCTAAATAACCTAATATCAACCATTTAATTTTTCAGATTTGGTTCTAATCTTTAAACATGGAACAATAATGCTTCCTTTCCATCTTCAGCCCACTAAGCTGGTTGGTGGATCAAATTAAGAGTGTATGCATAAACATCAACATATCACAAAGTACAATTTAAACAATATATGCCAGGGATTTGGCTCAGTGGCACTGAACCTGCCTCGCAAGCACAAGGTCCTGAGTTCGATCCCTGATATCAAAAAACAAAACAAAACAAAAAAAATTGGTAGTTTTAGTTGTTAAAACTGTGATTACAAAAGCAATAGCTTTAAAATTTTAATTTGATGTAAGCATTAACTTATACAGATTTATAGTATGATTTCCTGAAGTTGCTTATGTTTCTGAGTCACAGCTAAAGTACCCAGGATTCCAGAAGAATTTTACAAAAACAAAATAGAGGTGCACACTGGAAAGGTAAATCAAACCATTTATCATTCTAAAAGTGTATCTATTTAAATTTTGTTTGTTTGTTTGTTTTTGGTACCAGGATCGAACTCAGGACCTTTCGCTTGTGAGGCAGGAAGTGGAACCACTGAGCTAAATCCCTGGCCCTCTATTTAAATTTTTTGTACCATAAAATGAATAACATTGTGAAAGGATGCTGTGTATGAAAAACACTATATATACACTAAACTTTACCACAAATACTTATTAGAGAGAATTTAGCATACATTCTGATTTTTATCCAATCATGCAAATGTTTTGAAGTACCTTATCCTCAAGGATAGCATTATATGGAGAGTTCAGTGTTTTTCAGGTTTGAAACATTTTTTTTGGTACTAGGGATTGAACTCTGGACCTTTCACTTTCAAGGCAGGTGCCGGAACCACTGAGCTAAATCCCCGGCCCCCTAAGGTTTGAAACATTTTAAAAGGACAAGGAGCCAGGTGTGGTGACATATGCCTGTAATCCCAGCACTCAAGAGGCTGAGGCAGGAGGACTACTATAAATTCAAGGGTAGCCTGAACAATATACCACAACCTTGTCTCAAAAATAACAAGGGCCAGGGATTTAGCTCAGTGGTGCCTCACTTGCCTTGCAAGCTTGAGGTCCTGAGTTCGATCCCAGGCACCAAGGAAAAAAAAAAGAACTTGCAAAAAAGAACAACAAAAAGGGGGGAAAAAATACAAAAGTAGCCAGGCAGGATGGCACATGCCTGTTAATCTCAGCAGTCTGGGAGGCTGAGACAGGAGGATCGAAAATTCAATCCCAATGTGGGCAACTTGGTGAGTTAGTGGGTCACTGCCTCAAAATAAAAAATCAAAATAGCTAGGAATGTAGCTAGGTGCAAAAGTCCCTGGGTTCAATCTCTAATACCTCAAAAGACAAAACAAACAAAAGAACAAAGAAAATACACTGACTAGGAAATGTACATAAAAAATTAATTTTGAGGGCCGAGGATTTAGCTCAGCGGTTCCGCTGCCTCCCTTGCAAGCACAAGGTCCTGAGTTCAATCCCAGTACCAAAAAAAACCAAATAATAATAATAATAGTAATAATTTTGAAATATTTAATTTGGTTACTGTTTCTTGTTCACAGTGAACAAACTTCAAATATGTTTTTCTTCTCAAATGGAGTTCAGGAAGCATTATGGCTTATACTGAATGTGCTCATAAGTGGGGCATTTGAGAAATGATTGGATCATGGGTATGTGATACTGGATTAATCCACTGATAGGTTCATGTCAGGGTGTGATGCTGGGAGGTGAAGTCTGGTGGGAGGAGGTGGTCATTGTGGATGTGTCCTGAATATACATATAACCTCCTGCCTTGAGCACAGCCCTGTTTCCTGCCTACCCTGCCATGGACTGTTTCTCCTCTGCTCTCCCTTGGAGCCAGCTGACTATGGACTGTAACCTCTACAAACTGAGCTGAAGTAAACCTCTCCTCTGTTAACATGTGGGTAACTACGACAGGAAGTAAATGAATTAACTCTGAGAGAATTATTAAGACTTTATTAAATGTCATCATATTGTATACCTAAAATGTACCAATAAAATAAAAAATTTTGGGGGTTTTTTGGTACCAGGGATCGAACTAATTAATAAATTTTTAGGCCGGGGATTTAGCTCAGTGGTTCCGGCGCCTGCCTCTCAAGCGCAAGGTCCTGAGTTAGATCCCCGTACCAAAAAAAAAAAAAAAAAAATGTTTAAAGAGTTTATTAAAATCTCCAACAGAAGCCACTCACCTCAAACTCAGTCACATCTCTGTAAGAAGGAAAATTTTCAACAACCAGGTGCATTAACTTCTGCGCACTTTTTTCACTCTTTTGGACACAGTTAAGGAAACAGCCTCCAAACTTCTCCAACAAAATTCTCCCTGCCTCATTGAGAACACGATGCCTATCTTCCATCAAGGGCATGGGTATGTCAGTGTCAGAACGAAATATGTGCCGAACCTGGTCCAGGGTCACGGTGGCATAGTAGGAGGCACTCGTTATAGGTATCCCTTGGAGAGAAAAGAAAATTCGGGGGAGCAATGTCATATTTTGTTACCTCATTAGACCCCTCGCTTTATCACGAACAATTTCTACGAAACCAAGTGAGTGCTGCAGAAATACACCCAGGTGGATGAGAAAGGATCTGAAGCAAGACCTCATCTCCTGCAAGGAGCCTTTTCCAACTACTGCAATACTACACTGCCTGTGCCTGTATTCTGACTGCAAACAATGTTCCCGGTCTATCCCAGTCCTCATTAAAGGGACACCCTTTAAAACCTGACTGCGACAGAAACGCCGGTCGGCCTCGCCCACCCGCCCACCTGCAGCCCGGCCGGCACCCACCTTCGTCCAGGGCTCGGTTCACCGCGGCGCACAGGGCCCAGTATCCGCTATAGGCCTTGCCCCGGTAGCTCACCAGGCACTTGCGCTCCTCCTGCTCCGCCCAGAAGGAGAAGTTGAGCGTGTCCACCACGAACACCCAGCCGAGCGCCGCCTCGTCAGCCGTACGGGGGTTCAGCTCGTGCAGCGACCGCCAGCCGTCCACGCGCAGCGCGGGCCCCGAGGCCGCGGTCAGCAGCAGCTCGGCCGCCCTGCGCACACCCTCGCCGTCCACAGCCACATCCCGGCTACGCGCGGCCACGAACCTGGCGGACTCCCGGGGCGGCAAGGGACCGTCCATGCCGCCCGCCTTTACTGCGGGAAACCGGGCCTTGACTCCGGGCGGCCAGACCCTTCGGTCACCTAACGGGGCGAAGTCCAGGGCCCGCCCTCCCGGGCAAGGTCCTCGAGCACCGCGCGCGGTCAGGCCCAGCCGCGAGCCATCGGGCAGTGCTCGCGGGACAGGGAGCGGCGGGGGCGCGCCAGGCTCAGGCGGCGAGCACTTCCAGGGCTGCGGTCACGCCCACCGGGCGCGCCCCACCCCGCTTCCGGCTCTGAAGTCCGGAAGCGGCCGCGGCCGCCCACTCGGCCGTCCGCCATCTTGTGCCTCCGCCCTCTCCTCAGAGGGAGAGTGTGGCGGCGGCCTCTGTCTCGGGGCGAAGTCTGGGAGTGAAGCTCATGGCGACTCCCGCGCCCGGGTTCCCCAAAGGCTGCGGCTGTCAGTGTCCGAGTCTCGCCCCCACCCCTAGACCCGGCGCAGGCCTCTCGTCACACCTGCCTTTGCCAAGTTCTGTCCCGTTTGCAAGCCGAAAGAACGTTTAGGAGGAGTTGGAAAGTGACAGAGACATGGAGAAAACAAGAAAATTGTTAAATCTACATGTTGTGCTAAATTACTAAATCTCATCTAGTTTGGGTCGTGACAAAAGTAGCTTTAGTGGGGCCTGGGATGTAGCTCAGCGGCGCCGCGCCTGCCGGGCAAGCGCAAGACCCTGAGTTTGATTCCCGGTTCCGGGGCCGGGGGATAAGTGGCCTTAGTAAGTACCGTTTTGCAGATGAAGTGGAGTGGTACCATTATCAGCCCTGTCCCAGGAGTGTTGGGAGCTGAGATTCACGCCTTTGTTAATCCAGTCCCCCCAAATCAAGGGCGCAATGTGAGTGTGTCCAGTCCCCAGTGCCGGTCCTTCTGGCGTGACTGTATCAGTGGCCTAACGGAGAAGCCATGAAGTGAAGTAAGTAGCACCTTAAAACTCAAATGTAACATACTGTGCTAATAAGAGAAAGGTACAGAAATAAAAGTGATGTTCTACATTTGCTTAGTGATTCAGGATCAGTATATGCTCCTGAGGCCTGAATCTCCATAGACAAAACATTCACATCTTTGAAGATCATGTATTATGGGCTGGGGATGTGGCTCAGTGGTAGAGCTCTTAACTTGCACGCACAAGACCCTGGGTTCAATCCCCAGCAATACAGACACAAAGAGGGCCCAGGATTTAGCACAGTGGTTCCGCCTCCTGCCACTCAAGCCCAAGGTGCTGAGTTCGATCCCCGATACCAAAAAAGAAAAGAAAAGATTTGTATTCAAATCAACCAGCCCAGTGCGGTAGCACATACTTGTAATTCCAGCACTAGAGGCTGAGGCAAGAAGGTCTCCAGGTCAAGGCCAGCCTGTACATAGTAGCAAGTTCAAGGCCAGCCCTGAACTATCTAGTGAGACTGTTTCAAAAAATCCTCCTTTGCTGAGGGTGTAGGTCAGTGGTAAGGTACTTGCCTAGCATGCAGGAAGCCTTGGGGTTTCCAGGATCACAAGAAAAAAAATCAGTAGCTATCATTAGATATTCACAGTAAAGTCTTTTCCTTGGAATTTTTTGGTTGGGGGATTTGGAACTCTTAATAGCTGCGACCCTAAAGAAGCAGAATATCTAACTCTCCAGCTTCTTCAGTTTGTTAGAAAAAAGGAGCTTTAGAGGCTTACTATAATTTGCTTTGCAGCAAATCACTACTACATTAACATCATTGCTGAGCAAATGTATGCCTGATGGCTTCAAGCGTTTTATTTTTGTTTTGTTTTTGGCAGTGCTAGGAATCAAACCCAGGGCCTCTCACACGTGCTAGGTGTGCTTGGTAAGCACTCTGTCACCAAGCTACATCCACAGCCCTGAGATTCTGCTCCAGCAGCTAAATCTTGGGAGCCAAAGAAATCAAGAAGAAAATCTAGCAATCTACAAAAGAATCCAGGAAGTTAAATAACACGCCATTTTCTCTGGCTGAAGCTAGTTAACAGAAAAAAAAAACCAAAACACCAAAAAAACTTGAATCCCTACATGTGTTTGGGGTGTTGAATTAGACACTAAGAGTAGTATAAATAAAAATAAAATATGTTTCCTTCTGTCAATGTTGAGATACATCATAAACTTTGGGTTTTTGTTTTTTAAAGTACGTCTAATGCTGAGAATACAAAAAGTGACTTCTTTTAACTGAGTGCAGTGGCACACACCTGTAGCTTCAGCACACAAGAGGGTCACAAATTCAAACTCAGGTTGGGCAATTAGTAACTTAGCAAGAGCCTGTCTCAAAATAAAAAATAAAAAGGATTGGGGATAAAGCTCAGTATGAAGGCTGTGTCCCATCCCTAGTACTACCCCCCAAAAAATTCTTTTCATACTCAGCATCTTTTCCTTTTTCCTTCCTGACAGATGTTGTTCAGGAACCCCTCTTTCTTGGGAGGTGGAGGAAGCGGAATCCCTCTCTTTGAACCATAACCCATGTAGTTCAGCATGCTCAGGCCCAGAGATGGTAGGGACTGGTAATATCACTAACACCAGAAACTGGATTAAGACTGTGCATGTTCCCCAGTTCACCTCCGTAAACTGCAAAAGCAAAAGCTTTTATTCTCTCTTCCAATAAGACTTACCAGAAGTGAGTCGACCTTGGATGTGGTTGAGTAATTCCATGTGCTGGAATTATCCAGTCCTTTTGGTGGCAACTGGAGTATGAAACCAACACATGGGGGAGGATCCAGCCAAAAGAACAGCAGAGAAATGGAGACAGAGTAATAGGATTATGTCAACTCTTCAGTTTGCCCTACTTTTGGATCTTCAGTTACATAAGTTAGTAACTTCCTGGTGCTCCTCACACCGCTGGCCTAGCACGTACAAGGCCCTGGGTTTGGTACCCAGCACTGCCAAAAAACAAAAACATAAAATCACCAACAACTTTTTATACTTTAAAAGAGTTTTTTTGTTGTTGTTGTACCAGGGATCGAATTCAGGACCTTTTGCTTTCGAGGCAGGCGCAGCACCACTGAACTAAATCCCTGGCCCTAAAGCAGTTTTTGCTTAACCTTGTAGTGCTTTGGATTGAACACAAAGCCTTGTACATGCTAGGCACGTTCCCTACCACGAAGACACATTCTGAATTCCAAAAGCATTTCTGCACTGGGTTTCCTGTTTCAGTGAAAGCTTCAGATTTTACCCAGGGAGCAAAGGTAGAGGTAGAGGTGCTGTCTGACATTTTATAATCTGACGGGAAGAGAGATATCTGAGTAGAATTATGCTTTAGACAGTAGAGAACACAATGTGGCTTTTGTCTTTAGGGTTGTAAATGCCTCTATTCTTAAAGGAATGTGTCCACGGAAGGGAAAAGTAAAAGGAATGAAGGGCCAATGTGACCTGCCAATTGGGTGTTTATTTTTTCCCTACTGGGGATTGAACCCAGGGCCTTTGCATTGTGCTACATTCTCAGGCCCCAACTCCCTTTTATTTTTATTTTGAGATAAGGTCTCACTAAACTGACAGACTGTGCGTGGATATGTAATCTTCCTGCCTCAGCTTCTCAGAGTACTGGGATTACAGGCCTGTACCACCATTCCTAGGTACAGTATATTTCTTTTGAAAATCTTTGGCAAGCATGGTGGTGCAGGCCTGTAATCCCAACACTCAGGAAACAGGCAGGAGGATTGCTGCAAAAGAAAGAAAGGGGGTGGGGGGAGAGAGAGGCAGAAAGAGAGAAAGGAAGGAAGGAAGATCTTTGCCAAAAACTCCACCCTGTAGCCATAAGCGTTTGAAGAGTTTTTTGTTTGTTTGCTTGTTTGTTTGTTTCAGTGAGGTCTTGCTGTGTTGCTCAGTCAGACTGGGTTTAAACTTGGCTCCTCCAGCTTTGGCTTTGAGTAGTGGGGGTTTTAGGCATGTACCTCTGAGCTTGCCTGAAAGACATCCTGATGACCTCTGTTTGGGGGAGCTGAGACACGTTCTCCCTAAATTGTCCTGGCTGGCCTCCGGAGTGCTGGGATTACCCCCACACCTGGCGATGTTGACTTCCACATAATCCCTACCCTTGCATGTTTGTAAAAGGAATCGTGTTGTATTTCTACATTTCCTTCTCCTGAACAGTACCCACGTTAGGTCATTCCAGTCACTGAGAGACGTCCTTGTGAGTAGCTAAATTAAATGTCAGGCTCTTGGCAGCAATTACTGATGTATCCTCTATTTTTGTCATGATAGACTGTGGCAGGTATTTAAATAGAATATTAAGAGATATGTTGGCCTAGGTGTGGTGACACATGCCTATAACCGCATTCTGGGAGGCTGAGGCGGGAAAATCACAAATTTGAGCCCAGCACAGGCAATTTAATGAGACCATGTCACACACACAAAAAAGGTCTGGGGATATAACGCAGTATGAAGGCCACATTTTCAATTCAATCCCTAGTACCACACACAAACCAACCAAACAACAACAACAACAACAACAACAACAACAACAAAATATATATATATATATAGAGAGAGAGAGAGAGAGAGAGAGAGAGAGAGAGAGAGAGAGAGAGATTGTTGAGGAAAATTTTCAAAAGTTGCCTAGAGGGACAGATGGGCAATGAACATTGCTAGAGAGGAAGCTATGGTTTCCTTCATGCAGGAGGAGGTATGCAAAGAAGTCAAATGGATTTTGTGAAGGGAAACACTTCAGTTATTTTGCTTCCCTCAATATCCCCAAAATGACTGGTAGACTAATACCCCAACAAGGGCTTAGCAGAGAATAGGCAAAAACAGAACTGAGCCACAGATTAAGGGCCAAGCGAGTGTGTGTGTGTGTGTGTGTGTGTGTGTTGCTGGGGATAAGACTCAGGGCCTTCGCACATGCTAAGTGAGCACTCTGCCACTGATCTGTACCTCCAGTCCAGTGCTGATGCACTCGGAAGTCATCGAGGTCAAGGGAACACACAGCTGGTCACTCAAGAGCGTTGGCACAGCCAGTGGTGACGTCGCTGGGAAAATGACAGAAAACTGTTCTTAAGGCAGTTTCTGTGAGATAAGAAAACTCTCTTTCCTATTTCCTGTTAGTCAGATTTGTCATGGGGAGTTGACTCCTCCAAAGTTGTAGGTTGTGCCCCGGCATGGTGGTACAAGCTTGTAATCCCAGCACTTGGGAAGCTGAGGCAGGAGAACTGCCAAAAGTTTGAGGCCAGCCTGGGCTACAGAGCGACTGTTACGGCCA